TACCAGACTTGTAATATCCTTTATCCCTTCTCCACACATCCTTTTCCTCCCCCAGGAAATATAGCTGCTGTGAATAAAAAATGGATCTGTATCAGAAACATTAAAAAACAAAAAATTATACTCACTTCCATAATCTGTTGATATATTAATGGTTTTCTGCGCAACCATTTTCTCAAGATAGTATATAATCCCAGTGCATGTGTAGTTCTTGTTGGGTGATAAATTTGTCAGTATTCCCAGATGTTCTGTAACAGTTTGCTTATCTTCCCCTATGTTAAAATGCAAAGTTTCATTGATACTTTTTCATAAACCCAAAAATTCTAGTTAACATTTTTGGTGGGATTTTCAAAAGAGCTCAGCATTGGCCTAATTTGACACTGAAGGTTGACTTCAGCAGGGGCAGTGCTACATTAATGCTAAGTGCTTTTGAAAATCCCACCTTTAAATATTTTAATGTTTTACATTCATAATCTATTCCTTTTACCTTGATAGATATTAGATAAAAAACCTGTGATCAGTTTTCAAAAAGGGAGCTAAATACATGACTTGCACCACTTATTGTATTGTACCTCCTTCATTTAAGATTAAAGGCTCTGTTTTGGCTGTGGTGATTTACACATTTACCATTTCCCCCCCATACATCTCCCCTGAGGTTAGAGGGGCATGTTCTATTCAATGTATCCTGCTCAAAGATTATCAAGATACACAACCAATTGTATACATCTTCCTTGGTGAAGAAAGTCTAGACATTATGAATGTGAATATGGATTTCAAGTAGAACCAATTATTTTCAAATATGACTTCCAAGGTGATTTCTTGTTTCTTTGATTCACTCAACACTATTAATTAATTGACTAAACTGATAAAAATGTAATATAAATTGTACATGTAGCAAAATTTATGTTTTTGTCAACATTGTCCAAAAAATTTGGCCCGAGCTAAAACAACAAATATAATTAAAAAGAGTTAAATTCTGGACTTATTGAAGACAATGGGATTTTTGCCATTGAATTCAAATGGGACTAGGATTACACCCATAGTGTTCCATTAAAATAAAAGAAAACAATACAACAAAGATTTCCTTTAAAAATTGTTTAGTTAATATCAACTAAAATAAAAAATCAAAGCCCAATACACTACTCAAAATCTGGAAGTGTAGAGTCTACTAGATGATTTTTCTCTAGTCTGTTTTCCATTTCAAGCATTATAATTTAGTCTGCATAACAGGTTTATCTTATCTTTGTTTAGAAGTTCCCCAATCCCTCAACTAGCTTTCCATGCAAGTCACAGGAGAAATTAATAGAGCTAGTTGAGAAAATTCTGATTAAACATTTTTTCATCAGAATTTGTTGAAGTCAAACATTTTGCTGAAATGGTTTGATTTCAAGGAACTTCTGATGGCACTCAGGCAGGTTTTGAAACTGGCCCATTGGACACCTCCCTGGTTTCCTGTCAGCCTGACAGGCTGCTGGGGAGCCTGAGTTTCTAAGCTCTGCAGCTCTGGGGCAGCCCTTCTACGTGGACGTTCCCAGAGCTGGGGACTCCAGGGCTGCCCATCACTGAACAGCAGTTGTGAAACTCTTGTTAACTTGACAAGAGTCTGGTCAGTTTCATGGCTTTCATTCAGTGGTGTGCAGCCACAAAACTGACCAGAATTATGTCACTTTAAAGCACCAGATACCAAGGTTGTCAGGACCTCTCCACTGCTGCAGCCCACCTGGCAAGTAGCTAGGCATCCTGGGGAGCATATTTCATTTCAGAATTGCCACCATTTTCATTGTTTCCAAAGTGAAAAATTGTGGGATTTCAGTTCTACCAACATTTTCAAGGTTCTGGTTTTTGTCCCAATTGAGGGCGATTTTTTTTCTGAAACTGAACTGAAATTTGGTTTCCCACTAGCTCTAGAAATTAATTATATCTGATGGGATAATTTAGAAGACAGGTTTTCTATGTGGCATTTTCTTTAAGTTCAAAGTTCATAACAACCATCTGGTCATTAGTTAACATTCTCAGGTAAGGTCCAATAGTATATAGAATAGTATATATATATTTTTAGTTCCCATACAGTATCTACTACTGTCCATCCTCTATCCCTCTTCTCATACTCTGTTTATGAGGGAATGTTTTCACACCTCCATATTTTTATAAATATGCATTTTAAGTCTACTCTAGTATCTCAGTTTATGCTGACACTTAGGATAAAAATGATATTTCTTGCTTTAAATTTGTCCATTCACCATCAAATCAAAACAAAAATAATTTAAAACTGTAACTTTTAAAAGGTACAAAAAGTTTCCTACCATTTTCACAGGCAAAATTGTAGGCCAAAGAGCAATTAGATGAGTTATTCCAACGCAGTTGTACAGATGTATTGGTTATTTCACGGCTTTCCAAACTGTACCTAGCTCCATCTGTGAAGAAGGATTCATGTCTTATATTATTGTGACATTTTCTGCAATGTTATTTCTTTTCATACCAATTAATTATGTTCTTGTTTGGTGACTCTACTGTTATATAAAATATATACAAACAAATGACACCAAGTAATACATTAAGAAATTTAACCAACAATTAAAGGATTAACCAAAAAAACCCAGTGATTAAAAAATAATATAAATGTAACTGAGTGAAATTAATGTTGGCCTTTGAAATTCTAAACCAGTAGTCCTCATGGAACACAAGGGATGTGACAAATTCTAAGTTTCCAAATTCAAAGTTTCTGTTATACCACATTCAAAGATAGCATGGTTAGATTTTTTTTTTTTTACAATGGCAAAAATTTATTTTATACATTCTATCTTAACTCAAAAATGCCTGAAAATATTTTGAAAAAATTTTAAAACACAAAATCTCTTCTAGAGAAAGACCAGATATGGAAAATTTCAGCCTGCTTTTCAGAAAAGTATAGACAGGGAAAGACGAGGAGGCCCAGGAAATCTGAACAACTTTATAGTTGCTCACACTCTGTTGAGTGCCAACTTTATGTGGCTGCAAAGATGGGAGAAGAAGTTGCAAGAAGCTTTTCCTGTCCCCCGTAAGGGCCAGACATGCTCTGCTTGAGGAAGTTCCACTTCAACACACGGGAGTGTGACTGGCACAAAAGGAACAATCAGCTGCAGTTTGAAGGGTGTAACAGCAGGTGCACTCCCTTGAAGTGCCATGGAATTGAGAACAAATTCCTCCCCTCACTGCTTCAGGACAGAGCACCACCCATATTGCCCCTTATTATGGACTGTATTTAATGTGAAGAATTAGTCCTGAGTAAATTTGGAGGTGTGATAAATCCTTTGTAGAGAGTTCCAGTGTTTCAGGGATTTGTTTTTCCAATATGTGGAATTTTGTGCACTGTAATGCATTCCAAAGGCAGAAATAAATTATTATTATTAGCCAGTGATGAAAGGGATGTATCCTATCATCGCAGGGATGATGCAGCACTATCAACAAACAGGCTGAATTTCACCAAAAACAAAAAAATCTTTCCATACATCCTTCATTATTATTAAAAAAACCACTTTAATTGTAACATTACTATTCACTTTTCTATTGAATAGTGTTTAGTACTATTGCTTATATCCATGATGGTTTTGTTCCTCCTTTCTTTTTCCTTTTGAAACATGAAACCAGCTCCCTTTCTGCCTAACAGTTCAGCAGGATGAGAAATGAAAACAAAGATAAAAATTTCAGAAGGCTTGAAGGCCCAGATCCTCAAAGGATCAAATGATTTCAATGGAAGTTAGGAGCCTAAATACCTTTAAGGATCTGGCCTAAGTGATTTAGGATACTAAATCTCATTTTTCAAAGTGGCTTAGGCACTTAGAAACCTAAATCTCATTGAAAATCAACGAGACACAGATTCCTAAATCACTTATATTCTTTGGAAAATTTTACCCCAGATTAAATTTCCTCATTCTGCATCAGTCCTGAGACCCATACAGAGGACTGTCCCACCAGGCCAATATCCTGGCTATAGAGGAACTATCCCCATCCTGGTTATAAGCATGTGAAAAATAGAGTTGGCTATAAAGGAAACTGTTTTGGGAAACTAAACTGTAGTGGTCATTCTCTATCTCTGACTAATACAGAGATGTGAGGGAAGAAGCGGGAGGATGTAAAATACGGTTACAGGGGAAGAGAAGGCCAGCAGCAGATGAGGAAAGCTTCCATTCCTTGTTTCCACTGCAGATAGCTCTGTACAATTGGACCTGATATAAAGGAGTCTTATAGCTTAAGTTACAAGTCTGGAGGCCATCTTTTCAAACTCATGCCTATTATGTATTGTATATCTGAAGAGTTTATCAAATAGAATTTCCCCCACCATATCAGTCACTAAAGAATGTTTTGCTCTTCCTGCACTATGAATCTAGAGAGGAATGGGTATCATTTGGCAAGCTATATAATTGAACATAGAAAACTAAATAAAAAAATATTACATGCTACTCACACCACTCAATCTGCACTGGACTACAGAAAATATAATTAGGGTGGAAAGAATTAAATAAGAAAAAGCTCAATACACCTTTGTCCCTGAAAACATAATTACAAAGTCCAGTTTCTTGATCAACTGTCTCTAAGCCATACACCTTGTGCAAAGAAATATTTAAAACATACTTGTGTGTGACCACTCAGAGCTTGAAAACACACAAGCCTAATCAGGAAACGTGCATTTCAAATTAAGATAATATTTAAGGTATTTGAGGGGGCAATTTTTCAGGACTCCATGCATAACACACTATTTGTTCTTTGAGCATGTATACTGCATCACTATTATATCATTTTCATTGAATGGACATGGGGAGAGGTGTAACTTTGTGCTTTAATCAAAGATTAATGATACCAAAACTCAGAGTCTGAAGTCTAAGGGTATAAGAGAGAGGAATTTCCAGCCCCAAACAACACTTGGAGTCCACCCAGTCAAGCAGCAGATTTCTGAAACTCTGCACCAAGAACATAACACAGTGTTTGCTAAATAAAACCTCATATTGAACAAAAGCTGTACTTACCAGGTGGGATATGAATTACATGTGATGATATTTTGGGGCATTCATTATATCCAACTGTAATGTTATATGGCAGACATTCCTTAAGTCCTTCAATAGTTTGGTTTTTCACCTTACAAGTGGGGTTGCAGAAAATATTGTATGTTCTATTTTTTCCAGGAATGTTCAACTTTGCAGTGACTGTGTTACCATTGTAGGTATATTTCACATTAATATCAATTTTTTCTAAAAGAAGGGGAGAAAATGTGAAAAATGGATTTATAATAATTTTTCTTACTTTTTTTTTATACTTCAGCTAGAGAGTTACTGATCCAACACTGTATCCTGCTCTCCAGCATAATTTGTGCTTTAAAGACCCCAAGAGAAAATATTAGAGCTGGTTGAATTTTTTTGACCAAAAAGTTTTCTGGTCAGAAAATGTAGTTTTGTCAAAATAGAAAATTTCCATGGGAAAATGTCAATGTCTATGAATTTGTTTTCAATTTTCCAGTTGGAAGAATCAAAACAAAACAAAAATCATTTTGAATTGACATTTTGAAACTAAAGGAATTATTTTTATTCTGGAACATCAATTCAAAATGGAATTTTTTATTTTGACACGTTGACTAATTTCGTGTGAATCAAAACTATTGAAATTTTCATTTCACCATTTCTGATTCAAAACTTTTCATAGTTTTTCATTCTGAGATGATTTTCAATATTTTGACTTTTCATTCCTAATCTGAAGGGAATGTAGTTTTAAAATGTTGACATTTCCTGCAAAAGGAAATGTTCATTTTTTAATTACTCCTGAAAACATCTGTTCTGGTGTATGAAACTTGGAAATGTATTTTTCTACTCCCCTGATATATGAGGAAACAAACAAACCTGGTCTTTTGAAAACATATTGTTGCAGGACCAATTAATAACTGCAAAACATTATATATTCCAAACTGTCTACCAAATAATTAGATCTGGACTCTGCCTATGAATTGGAGAAACTTGTCTAGTTTGAATTAGTGATCAGCCACTAAAATTTGCATTCATTTCCTCTCTCACATGGTGTAAAATAAAATTATTGCAGAAAAAAAGCTTAGAGAGCCCCTTGGTGTTGAATAAAACCAGACTTTTTTCTCCTTTAGGCAGACTCTGCTCCAGCACTGACGTGTAATTAATAGCAGCAGCCTAGTGCCCGATAGGATGCCTCAGCAGAGTGGGAAATGGACAGCAGAAAGTCAGAAACTTCGAGGAAGTTTAAAACAATTATTCTAAAATAGTAACAACAAGGAGTCTGGTGGCACCTTAAAGACTAACAGGTGCCACCAGACTCCTTGTTGTTTTTGTAGATACAGACTAACATGGCTACCCCCTGATACTAAAATAGTAAGAAAACTTAAAAAACAACCTGAGATAGGAGCTGATTTGGTTTATTTGAGCATTTAGCTGATCTGAGTGAAGTGGAGAGAGTTTCTTTCTGGTTTGAAAAGTTTCATTTCACTTTTATTAAGCATAACTTACCACAAGATATTGGAGTTGTCACTGTAGTAGTTACTGGAAAAGAAAAGAAAAGAAAAGAAAAGAGAAAAACAAATTAATATCATAAGGCAGCTTTCTACATTCAGTTGTAAAGGACAGTGACTGATAATATGAAAAGATCTGGTACATTCAATACAGATATTTGTATTTTGATCTTCAAAAATAGTTGAAAAACAGGGAAGAAAATTCAATGAAATTTATGCAATAATTCCCACCATTTTTAACCAACTCTATTAGGCCTGGTCTACACTACGAGTTTAGGTCGACTTTAGCAGCGTTAAATCGAATTAAGCCTGGACACGTTCACACGACGAAGCCCTTTCTTTCGACTTAAAGGGCCCTTTAAACAGGATTCTTTACTCCACCTCCGACGAGGGGATGAGTGATAAAATCGGCCTTAGCGGGTCGGAATTGGGGTAGTGTGAACGGAATTCGATGTTATTGGCCTCCGGGAGCTATCCCACAGTGCTTCATTGTGACCGCTCTGGACAGCACTCTCAACTCAGATGCACTGACCAGGTAGACAGGAAAAGCCCCGCGAACGTTTGAATTTCATTTCCTGTTTGCCCAGAGTGGAGAGCACAGGTGACCACGCAGAGCTCATCAGCACAAGTAACCGTGATGGAGTCCCAGGATCGCAAAAGAGCTCCATCATGGACCGAACAGGAGGTACGGGATCTGCTCGCCATATGGGGAGATGAATCAGTGCTAGCTGAACTCCGTAGCAGTAAACGAAATGGCAAAATATTAGAAAAGGTCTCCAAGGCCATGAAGGACAAAGGTCATAACAGGGACGCACAGCAGTGCCGCGTGAAAATTAAGGAGCTAAGGCAAGCCTACCACAAAGCCAGAGAGGCAAACGGAAGGTCCGGGGCAGAGCCGAAAACATGCCGCTTCTACGCGGAGCTGCATGCCATGCTAGGGGGTGCAGCCACCACTACCCCAACCGTGTGCTATGACTCCTTCACTGGAGAAACACACAGGGAAGCGGGTTCGGGGTATGAGGAAGATGAGGATGAAGATCATGTAGATAGCTCACAGCAGCAAGGAAGCGGAGAAACCAGTTTCCCCAACAGCCAGGATATGTTTATCACCCTGGACCTGGAACCAGTAACCCCCGAACTCACCCAAGGCGTGCTCCCAGACCCTGAGGGCACGCAGGGGACCTCTGGTGAGTGTACCTTTGTAAATATTACACATGGTTTAAAAGCAAGCGTGTTTAATGATTAATGATTAATTTGCCCTGGCAATCGCGGCCACTACAGCTACTGGAAAAGTCTGTTAACATGTATGGGGATGGAGCGGGAATCCTCCAGGGACATCTCCAGAAAGCTCTCCTTCATGTACTCCCAAAGCCTTTGCAAAAGGTTTCTGGGGAGGGCTGCCTTATCCCGTCCGCCAATGGTAGGACACTTTACTACGCTAGGCCAGTAGCACGTAGTCTGGAATCATTGCATAACAAAGCATGGCAGCGTATGGTCCCGGTGTTTGCTGGCATGCAGACAACATCCATTCCTTATCGCTCTTTGTTATCCTCAGGAGAGTGATATCATTCACGGTCACCTGGTTGAAATGGGGCGATTTTATTAAGGGGACATTCAGAGGTGCCTGTTCCTGCTCGGCTGAACAGAAATGTTCCCCGCTGTTAGCCACACGGTAGGGGGGAGGGGTGAAGTGATCATCCCAGAGAATTGGGTGTGGAGGAGGTCGTTGGGTTTGTGCTGCATGTTAACCCAGAAACCGCAGCCCCTCCTTTTACATTGCAAACCCATTTTAAATGGCCAACCCAACGGGTGCTTGGTATGGGAAATGAGGGCACTACTGTTTGAAACCATTCCCACATGTTAAGAAGGTTAAAAAAGCCAAAAGACTGTGGCTTACCATGGCTGCCTGCAAGCCGAAATCTGTTGCCTGGCACTGCGTGAGTGATCTCTCACACCAAACCGGCAGGCCCTCAATATAAGAGGAAAAATGCGACCTTGTAACGAAAGCACATGTGCTGTGTAATGTGAACAGCAAAATTTAATGTGAAAGAGTGTACCCATTGTTCTCTAAAATGTGTCTTTTTTTAACCACCTCTCCCTTCTCCTCCACCAGCTGCAAATGTTTCTCCTTCACAGAGGCTAGCGAAGATTAGAAGGAGAAAACGGCGGACTCGGGATGATATGTTCTTGGAGCTCCAGATGTCCTCCCACGCTGACAGAGCACAGCAGAATGCGTGGAGGCAGTCAATGTCAGACAACAGAAAAGCACAATATGAACGAGAGGAGAGGTGGCGGGCTGAATCGCGGGATGAACAGAGCAAGTTGCGGGCTGAAGATGATAGGTGGCGTCAGCTTGCAGACAGAAGGCAAGAGTCGATGCTCCGTCTGCTGGAGCATCAAACTGATATGCTCCAGCGTATGGTTGAGCTGCAGGAAAGGCAGCAGGAGCAGAGACTGCTGCTACAGCCCCTGTGTAACCAACAGCCCTCCTCCCCAAGTCCCATAGCGTCCTCACCCAGACGCCCAAGAACACGGTGGGGGGCCTCCGGCCACCCAGTCACTCCACCCCAGATGATTGCCCGAGCATCAGAAGGCTAGCCTTCAATAAAAGTTAAAGTTTTAAACTGCAGTGTGTCCTTTTCCTTCCCTCCTCCCCCACCCATCCCGGGCTACCTTGGCAATTATCCCCCTAGTTGTGTGATGAATTAATAAAGAATGCATGAATGTGAAGTAACAATGACTTTACTGCCTCTGCAAGCGGTGCTCGAAGGGGGGAGGGGAGGGTGGGGTGGTTGGTTTACAGGGAAGTAGAGTGAACCGGGTGGGGGGGGCAGAGGGTTCATCAAGGAGAAACAAACAGAAGTTTCACACCGTAGCCTGGCCACTCACAAAACTCGTTTTCAAAGCTTCTCTGATGCGCACCGCGCCCTGCTGTGCTCTTCTAACCGCCCTGGTGTCTGGCTGCGCGTAATCAGCGGCCAGGCGATTTGCCTCAACCTCCCACCCCGCCATAAATGTCTCCCCCTTACTCTCACAGATATTGTGGAGCGCACAGCAAGCAGCAATAACAATGGGGATATTCTTTTTGCTGAGGTCTGAGCGAGTCAGTAAGCTGCGCCAGCGCGCTTTTAAACGTCCAAATGCACATTTCACCACCATTCGGCACTTGCTCAGTCTGTAGTTGAACAGGTCCTGACTACTGTCCAGGCTGCCTGTGTACGGCTTCATGAGCCATGGCATTAAGGGGTAGGATGGGTCCCCAAGGATCACGATAGGCATTTCAACATCCCCAACGGTTATTTTCTGGTCCGGGAAGAAAGTCCCTTCCTCCAGCTTTCGAAACAGACCAGAGTGCCTGAAGACGCGAGCATCATGTACCTTTCCCGGCCATCCCACGTTGATGTTGGTGAAACGTCCCTTGTGATCCACCAGGGCTTGCAGCAGCATTGAAAAGTACCCCTTGCGGTTTATGTACTCGGTGGCTTGGTGCTCCGGTGCCAAGATAGGGATATGGGTTCCGTCTATGGCCCCACCACAGTTTGGGAATCCCATTGCAGCAAAGCCATCCACTATGGCCTGCACGTTTCCCAGAGTCACTACCCTTGATATCACCAGGTCTTTCATTGCCCTGGCAACTTGGATCACAGCAGCCCCCACAGTAGATTTGCCCACTCCAAATTGATTCCCGACTGACCGGTAGCTGTCTGGCGTTGCAAGCTTCCACAGGGCTATCGCCACTCGCTTCTCAACTGTGAGGGCTGCTCTCATCCTGGTATTCTGGCGCTTCAGGGCAGGGGAAAGCAAGTCACAAAGTTCCATGAAAGTGCCCTTACGCATGCGAAAGTTTCGCAGCCACTGGGAATCATCCCACACCTGCAGCACGATGCGGTCCCACCAGTCTGTGCTTGTTTCCCGGGCCCAGAATCGGCGTTCCACGGCATGAACCTGCCCCAGTAACACCATGATTTGCACATTGCTGGGGCCTGTGCCTTGTGAGAGGTCTATGTCCATGTCAATTTCCTCATCACTCTCGTCGCCGCGCTGCAATCGCCTCCTCGGCTGGTCCTGGTTTTGCTTTGGCATGTCCTGGCTCTGCATATACTCCAGGACAATGCGTGTGGTGTTCATAGTGCTCATAATTGCCGCGGTGATCTGAGCGTGCTCCATGATCCCAGTGCTATGGCGTCTGGTCTGAAAAAAGGCGCGAAACTAGTATCTGACGGACGAAGGGAGGGAGGGGCGAGTGATGACATGGCGTACAGGTACAGGGAATTTAAATCAACAAAGGTGGCTGTGCATCAGGGAGAAACACAAACAACTGTCACACAGAATGGCCCCCCCAAAGATTGAACTCAAAACCCTGGGTTTAGCAGGCCGTTGATTTCACGGAGGGAGGGGGAAGCAAATGAATACAGAACAAATCTATTTTTTACATCTTAAGCTGGCAGACAACAGTGCAGCATGACTGATAGCCCTCGGCATCTTCTGGGTGCTTGGCAGAAAATACTGGGCGCTTGGCAGAAAATAGCATACTACGACTGATAGCCATCATCGTCAAGACAGTTCGATAGGACTGAGCATGTCTGCCCAGGTGCCCATGATTGACAGCCACTGCAGTACGACAACGACGGATACCAATCGTAATATACCATCTTCTACCAAAAGGCAAGGGGCTGCTGCTGTGTGCAATGCAGCCCCACGTCTGCCAGCCCCATGTCTGCCGGCACCCAGATCGCCGATGAAGGCTACCAGTCATACTGCACCGTCTACTGCCAAAAGGCAATTAGCTGCTGCTGTGTAGCAATGCAGTACCACGTCTGCCGGCACCCAGAGGACATATGGTGACGGTGAGCTGAGCTGAGCTGAGCGGGCTCCATGCTTGGCGTGGTATGTTGTCTGCACAGGTAACCCAGGTAAAAAGGCGCGAATCGATTGTCTGCCGTTGCTCTGACGGAGGGGGAGGTCCCTGACGACATGTACCCAGAACCCCCCGCGACACTGTTTTGCATCATTCAGGCATTGGGATCTCAACCCAGAATTCCAATGGGCGGCGGAGACTGCGGGAACTGTGGGATAGCTACCCACAGTGCAACTCTCTGGAAGTCGACGCTAGCCTCGACTTAATGCACTTAGAGCATTTTATGTGGGGACACACACAATCGGCTGTATACAACCGATTTCTATAAAACCGGCTTCTATAAATTCGACCTAATTTCGTAGTGTAGACATACCCTTAGATACTATGTGTTTCATTATTTCTCAGTGATATTGTTAATTGCGGATCATACTGCTCATTATAAATGGTTCTTAACCTTATTTCTACAACAGGGGTCTGCAGACCACTGGTTGAAAACCAGTGTTCTATGATAATAACAACCTTTCGCGGATCCCTTAGACATAGTCTGAGGACACCCAGGGGTCTGCGGACCATAAGTTGAAAACCACTGAACTAGACTTTATTTTTTAGAAAAAGATCCAATTTTGATTTAAAAATAGATCTGTCCAGAAAATAAAAATTCCATTTCACAAAAGATTTTTAGAAGTTTCAAAATTTGTCTTCATTCTGATGCAAAACAAAATGAGACCTTCTGAAATTTTTCACAAAAACACACGACAGCTACCTGCCCATCCCAGAATAGCCAGTGCTATAGAGTCTGTCTCAATCACTCCTGTTGGAGCTGTTCCACTTTCTATATCATAGAATCATAAGACTGAAAGGGACCTCGAGAGACCATCTAGTCCAGTCCCCTGCACTCAAGGCAGGACTAAGTATTATATAACTAAATATTCAGTGAGGAAGAGATGTGTTGACTCTCTAAGGCCACTGATTAGGGTACTTGCCTAGGATGTGGGAGAGCCAGGTTTGAAACTCTGATCTGCATGATTTGGGGCAGAAATTTGAACCTAGCTTCCCCCTAGCCCTGATGAGTGCCCTAACCACCAGGCTATTAGCTAGTCTGAGTGGGGTCTCTCTCTTCCTCTTCCACCCCCCAAAATTTCAGCCTGCACTTCAGATATCTTCCTGGCAATTTTTTAAACCAAAACTTCCACAAAACAATTTTGATGAAATGGCATTTTTTAAAGAAAAAGATTTTGTCAAAAATTATCTCAACCAGCTCTATTTAAAAACTCAAGGGATAGAAGATTTACCACATTTCTTGGTAATCTTTTCCTGTGTTTGATTATCTCATTGTTAAAAGTTTTGCCTTATTTCCAGTTTGAACGTTGCTGACTTCAACTTCCAGCCACTGATTATCGTTATGCCTTTGTCTCCTATATTAAAAAGCACTCTAATATGAGATATCTCTTCTCTTTGTATGTGATTATAGACTGTGATCAGGTCACCTCTAAACCTTGTGTTTGATTAACTAAATAGGTTGAGATTCTATAGTCTCTTGTTGTAAGGTATTCAACTCTTCTCTATATCTTATCCAATTTTTCAACATCTTTTTTAAAATTTGGACCCCAGAACTGGACACAGTATAGTGGTCTCATCAATGCCCTATACAGAGGCAGTATCACCTCTCTACTCTTGCTTGATATTTTCTTGATACCTCCAAATATTGTCTTAGTCCTTTTTTGCCATAATATTGTTCTGAAAGCTCATGTTAGAACATGAATATGGCCATACTGGGTCAGACCAATTGTCCATCTAGTCCAGTATCCTGTTTTCTGACAGTAGCCAGTGCCAGATGGTTCAGAGGGAATGAAGGTTAATTTTTCACTTGGCTGAGAAGAAGTGAATCTGGCCTCTTTTACATCAGTTAACTCTTACATTAGGAGTAGTAAGCATTTTATTCTTAGTAGTAAGAGATTTTAGTTTAATGCAATTTTCTGCAGTTGCATCTGTAGAATAAATCACTTGTTAGGTTTAAAAAAAATACTCAAAGTCACTTCAGCGCCCTCATTCTAACCCATTTCCCATGCATGCAGTGTTAGGATTGCCAGAACTGTGTGCAGGTTTGTCACCTGTTGTGAGAGTGGGAGTAGTCAAAATGGTGTTTGAGGAAGGCTGAGAAATGTTTGCTTGAGTGCTGGTTGGAGTATGGTTCACGGATGGTGAGGTGGTGTGCAAGCGTGGCAGATTGGAAGCATCTGCAAGGACAGAACAAATTAGTATTAGAAAGTGAGTTTGTTGTTTCATGTAATCATATCATAAACGTCTTGGACTATGTACTTTCTTCTTGTAATTATCTTACCAAAAGATTGAACAGAGCTGCAAGTAAGGTTGTGTTAGTATTTCCATTAAAGAACAAAACAAGAATCTTTAACTAGAATTCACAATATCAGGACTCTTTTATATGTCAATCAGTTCTCAAATATATGGGCCATAATGAAGTCAACAGAAGCTTTGCCTGAATAAGGGCTGCAGGTTTTATCCCATTGTGTGAACATAGTTTTGCCCATAGTTCTTATCATTAGGCACAATTCCACAAACTACTAAACATAGTGCTTACATCCATGATACTCCTCATGGTGTAAGCCAGTGATTCTCAAACTTTTGTACTGGTGACCCCTATCACACAGCAAGCCTCTGTGTGCGACCCCCCCCCTTATACATTAAAAACACTTCTTTACATATTTAACACAATTATAAATGCTGGAGGCAAAGCAGGATTTGGGGTGGAGGCTGACAGCTCGCGACCCCCCATGTAATAACCTCATGACCCCCTGAGGGGTCCCGACCCCCAGTTTGAGAACCCCTGGTGTAAGCACTACCCTCAGCAGTATGTGTTTGCCAGGTCAGGTATGCTACCTACAGTGCCTTGGTATTTATTTCATTGCTTAGAAACCACTCACTGTTTGTTTTATCAGTGTCACTGTTTACTGGGCCAGTTCCTGCAGCTCTTGCTTTGGCAAAACTCTCATTGACTTGCAGGAAGAGTTTTGCCTGAATAATGACTGTAAGATCAAGTCATATGCTGGAAATAAAACACAGAAACACCTTGTGGTCTTGCGTCAGTTGTGAAGCTTAGGAACATTTTCAGTTTGTTGAGCAGTAACTGTGATAAACTGCCAAACTACACAATTTTCTCCATGTACAGCTCAAGCAATTGTATTACTGCCAACCTGGGGAATCTAAAGGAATACAGCAAACCTGATGGTTTATATGTGGTGGTAGCAGGAGTGAGTGAAGTAAGGGCAGCTGTGCTGCTGTGTGGCTGATTGCTGGATCCAAAGGAAGAGTTTGAGTCTTCATGAGTGCTGGGGTTTGTGCTGCTTGTTGGAATGATGCCTGTAGTAAGGAAGTACAATAGTTCTGTTAGTGCTTCCTAACATGTTATGCACAGACAATGACAACAAAGTCACACATAAAGAAGGTATCTATTCCTGAATAGATAATGTTAAAAGAAGGAAAACTGAGACCGTATATTTTAGGCAGTTATACAATTTCATTTTGTTTCTTATATGTAAGGCCAAAATCAAAAGTAGAAACATGCATTCTATAAGAAAAGAAACCAGAGTTGCAAAGCATCTATGAGTTGAGAACCTGACGTGTTCAATGCCCTCAGTTCTCACTGGGCCTGACACTGCTGCAGCTGAAGTCAAAGGTGAGATTTTCATTGGCTTCATGGGATCAGGATAAAGCTAGTTGATTTTGATGGTAGCTGAGGTTGCTCAGCCCCCTGTAGATTCAGGTGCTTTGTGTTTTATGAAATGGTCATTGTCGTGCAGAGAGAGAGAGAGAGGTTTACCCTTGTAATTTTAATAACTGTTCCAAAACAATAATATAAATGTCACTATTAGCCTCTAATATTCTCTTACGTATAAAACCAATGTAAAAACTAATCTATTGTCCCATCTTATTTGAATAACTCAGTAAGAATCAGATTCTGTTGGTAAATACTTTTATAGACATTGTACAAGCGTGCACAAGGTCATACATCCCAGCCAGTGGCAAAGCCAAAGAACAGAAGTTGGGAATCCTTTCTCTCAGTCCCCTGATCTAACCACCACACAGCACTCTCAGAGGATATAAAATCTTCCCTAGGATTGTCAGTTGATTCATATTCTTTAGACTGGTTTGAAAGAAGTTAAGAATAAATGTATGTCCAAAAATGGCATGTAATCAGTATTCATTACTTTGACTCTTTGAATAGGGAAATGGAAGCTAAAATTCATCTCTTGAAATACCTGTATGTAATATATACCATATATACCTATAAATAACCTAAAGGACCACTGGATGTCATCATTGCTTCACAAAAGGAAAAATAAATAAACCAGGTTTTATCTAACAATAAATCATAACTTCTAACCTGATTGCTATTTTTTTTTAATTTCAAGAGATTTGGCATCTTGGTTCCACTTTTGTCCAACTCTATTGTCTGTTTTTCATCTTCTGCATCACAGTTGCCAATTTTCACGCGGTAAATAAGCACCCCGACTTTCACAATAAGCCAAAAATCAAGCTAATCCCATTTCAAAACAAGACCAAAACAAGCCAATCCCTAAGAACCCCAACACTCTATGTGACTAGATCCCCCCGGCGTGCAGTCTGGGACTGCCGTGGGCCTGCTATGCACCCCTGACCCTCCCCCGCCCTCCTATGCCCACCTTGCCCCTGCTTGCCGGCAGCCAATCAAAAAAAAGAAGAAGCAACAAACTACAACAAGCAACAAGCTACACGACAAACAAGCAATAAGCTACAAGCCAAAAACTAGCCAACAAGCAACTCACAAGCCAATTAAGCCAAAAATAAGCACAATTTCTGTGTTTTTTCCGCAGGTTTGGCATGTCTGTTCTGTATGTTCAAAGGGCACATTGGTACCTCTCACTGTACTATTCTACTGCTATTTCAGTCTTCCTATAGTGTTTCTCTGCCTTCAGCCCCAGTTTCACTGTCCTCTCTCTCATTCTCAGCTGTGACCTCTTAACTCTTTGTTTGCAGATAAAGATAATACGATTTTGTAAGTGTGTGGTAAAGTGCTATTATATGATGAAGAACCTGAATTCTCTTATCTGTGCTATATTTATATTACTGTTTTTTTTACTGTATAGATCTGGTCCCAAGCCAGTGAATTCAGCGGAAAGACTTCAGCTGACTTCAGTGGGCTTTGGACTCTTCTTTTAATTCTATTGGGGTTTTCTGTAATTTTTGTAAAAGTTTAACTCCTCTGCTAGGTCAGATAAATGTGGAACCACTATCTGGAAGTAACAAAACCAAACAATTATGAACACATTTTCTGTTTAAACTAGCATACACAGTTCAGATCCTACCATATTCTATTATTTGTATTAATTATTTGTATTACAGTCATGCCTGGAGGCCAAGGTTCCATTGTGCTAGGCACTGTACCAACATATAACAAAGACACAGTCCCTGTCCTGAAGAACTTACAATCTAAATGAATATGTTAAGTGAATGAGATATGTTCAGTAAAATACATGTAAATCACAAATTCAGACAAAAGCAAATTGGTTCATTTGGTTCCTCCTTTTTAAACCAGTCTATATTATTTCACCTGTGATCTCACTATTCTAAATGTAAAGGCATTAAACAATCTAGAAGATAATACTTGTACACACAAAGGATTTGTCTTATTAGACGTTAACAACACCACAATATAAGCAAATTTCATAGAGAAGTGTTGCAGTTCTGTAAGGAAAGTAAAATAGTTCTCTTACCAGTTCCATTAGGTTTCTGCTCATTCCCTAAAAGGAATAAAACAGGAGTAAATACAGTAAGTCAAGAGAAGGCTATACACATTTGTGTCCGTACATTAAGGCCCCAATCCTGCAATCCGATTAATTCAAACAGATCCTTGCCCCATGCAGGAGAAGGGCTTTGGCACCTGACTCATGAAGGTATATGAGCACATGCCTGACTTTAAGCATGAGTAGTCCTGGAGAAGGCAATGAATTAAGTTGCAGCATACAAAAAAGCACATGCATTCTAGGCTCTTTAGTTCCTGCCGTTTACTTGGAAGGGAGCTGATTCACCTGAATCACTGATCTCTCCCTATGTGCCTCACATGATCAGCACACGCCAAAAGTGTGCAACTCTTAAACAGCACTGAAAACTGAGAACTGGAAGCACATAGATCAGGAAAAGGGTCGGTGAAGCATAGTGATAAAAACCTATAATTATATTGGTTTTATGATGTTACCTGTCACTTTGCAACTTCATTTCTATATATTTTTGTTTATACTAAAATTTGGAAACATTAATCATATTTGATTTTAATTTAAGCAATAAAAACAAAATAATGTTTCTGGAATGTTTACAAATTAGGATGTAAGATAATGGGCCAGAGCCTCAGCTGGTGTAAATCAATGTATCTCCACTTAAGTCATTGGAGCTGGCTAGATTTACACCACCTGAGGATCTGGCCCAATACTACCGAGTGAGACTTACTGGTGCTATACCAAAGAGTGCTTTTCAGTTGTCCATGGGGAGAGAAGAACCATTCTTTTCTTCCCAACTTCACACTGACTGCTCCTGGGGTTCCCTGTCATCTAAAAAGATTTTAACCTTGTAGGTCACTCATCCCATTCTAATAAGATTTATTTGGGGAGTTATCTTGTAGCTTGATATTGGTAGTCTGGGATTCTGATGGAATGGGCGTGGGATGGAGATTTCCCAAAGATGTTTGTAACTAGAGGTGAAATGGTTCTCTCAGGTGTAGAGGATGTAAAAATGGAGGTTCAATACCAGTCTATATAACCCTATAGCACCTGGTGATACATAACTGACAGGAACTTAACTGTGAAATGTACAGTATAAATAGTAATTGTGTTTATTCTGTAGTGCTTTCTTTAATCCAGAATGTGAATTCAAGGCATGAGACACTGAGCTCCATTATTTCATCCAGGTGCTTAATTATCTGTCATGCAGTACACTGTCTACCGTAGAACAACATGTACTATACAAGAAACAAGTTAAAACTAGAACTAGTTTAATTTGTTAATTCTCTGTGATAGGCTGTGACACCTGAGTGAAGGAAACCTCCACATCTGAGTTGGAGTTCAAGCACTTGGGAGACAAAGGTAGAATGAGAACTCAAACAATGCCCTATGCCTTTAAGGCCATTTTTATGTATATATATAAAGAAGGCTTCCCTCAGCTGTGGGCCTCAGCTATAGTACAAATATATGATGCTGAGCCCAATCCCTTCCAGCACCTCTGTGGGTTCCCTTCACCATATCACACCCCCATATTAGTATTTTTGGTAAACAGCCTACAATGAAATATTCCCAGTTCACTGTTAGGAAATGTAGCTTTAGAAGCATCAGGGCTATGGATCAGATTTTACAATATGGCTGCCTAAATTGCACATGCACCTGCACATGCTCATGCTTTTATGCATGCAAAGTGGATACTTATGCATGCACTTACCTGTCGTGCACGCACAAATTCTATGGATACAATTAGCAATAGGTGCCTGCATTTGAGAATGTGGCCCTGTGTTTCTAAAAAAGAAATTACATTAAATTGGCTATCAGCCAGGATGGGCAGGACGCAAAACCATCCTCTAAAGCAGGGGTCGGCAACGTTCGGCACGCGGCTCGCCAGGGTAAGCACCCTAGCGGGCCAGTTTATTTACCTGCTGACGCGGCAGGTTCAGCCGATCGCGGCCCCCACTGGCCGCGGTTCGCCGTCCCGGGCCAATGGAGGCGGCGGGAAGCCGCGGCCAGAGCATCCCTCGGCGAGCCGCGTGCCGAATGTTGCCGACCCCTGCTCTAAAGTGTCCCTAGCCTCTGTTTGCCAGAATCTGTGAATGGGCAACAGGGGATGGATCACTTGATGATTACCTGTTCTGTTCATTCCTTCTGGGGCACCTGGCATTGGCCACTGTCAGAAGACAGGATACTGGGCTAGATGGACCATTGGTCTGACCCAGTATGGCCATTCTTATGTTCTTATGTTTTAAGCTTTAAGAGTCTGATTCTCATTTACCTAAAGCCTCTTTGCATTTTGTTCTGGCATCATCAAGAGGTCTTAATGTAAATGAGAATCAGATTCTATATATATCAAGGATATACAAATATTTTGAAATATTTTCCTAATTTAATTATTTAATGTACTATTCATGTGAGGTAAGCCAGTGTAAAGGATTACAACTGTAAAGGATTGTTGTAACGTCTGTGTGGTGGAACTAGATGTCAGTTCAGGGAAAACAATCTGAGAACAAAACTGTGCCCCGTGTTTCACTTTTACCTTCGTTTTTGCCTGTAGGTGAGTGTGGAGTGGAGAGTGCAGATAGAGGTGATGTGCTTGTGGGCATGGGAGAATTTGTAGTTTCTGTTGTTGTTCCTTCTCCTGTCACATGATGGAGAAAATATTATTAATTGAATAGTGTACATAGCGGAAAAGTACAATTTAAATAGAAAAAAAAAAGTCAGCTGCCATTAGTTTTCCAGCTAGGACCATATTTCTTATTACAGCATTGATTACAGTGGGATAACTTCACGATGCTCTCTTATATATACACAACAAGAAGGCAGAGGTGTTTAATGCCTATTTTGCTTCGGCCTTCACTAAAAAAGGCAAATTGTGACCAAATATTTAACACAATTAATATTTACAACAAGGGACATGGCAAGCAAGTCAAAATAGGGTAAGAATAGGATAAAGAATATATAGATAAGTTAGATGTATTCAAGTCAGCAAGGGTCTGATGAAATTCACCTTCGGGTACATCAGGAACCAGCAGAAGCAATCTTGAAATCAGTAGTGATTATCTTTGAGAATTCATGAGGATGGGTGACATCCCAGAGGACTGGAGAAGGGCAAACATAGTACCTATGTTTAAAAACTGGGGATGGGGGGAGAAGACCTGGGGAATTATAGACTAGTGAGCCTAATTTTGATACCTGGAAAGATACTGGAACAATCAATTTGTGAGCACCTAAAGGATAATAGGATTGTAGGTAATAGACAACATGGGTTTGTCAAGAACAAATTATGCCAAACCAACCTATTTTCCTGCTTTTACAGGGTTACTGGACTAGTGCATGGGTAGAAGCCACAGAGGGGATATATCTTGATTTTAGTAAGGCTTTTTACACTGTCCTATGACATTCTCATAAGCAAACTAGGAAAATGAGATCTAGATGAAATTACTCTAAGATGGGGGCACAACTTGTTGAAAGACTGTAATCAAAGAGTATGGTTCACTGTCAAACTGGGCGACATATCTAGTGGGGTTCCCTAGGGGGTCTCTCCTGTGTTCGGTACTATTCAACATTTTCATTAATGACTTGGATAACGGAATGGAAAGCATGCTTATAAAATGTGTGGATGACACTAAGATGGAGGGAGTTGCAAGTACTTTGAAGGACAGAATTAGAATTCAAGATGACCTTGAAAAATTAGAGAACTGGTCTGAACTCAAGAAGAGCTTTAACAAAGACAAGTGTAAAGTACTACACTTAGGAAAAATCAAATACACAACTAGACAATGGGGAATAACTGGCTAGGCAGTAGTACCGCTCAGAAGGCACTAGGGATTATAATGGATTACAAATTGAACATGAATCAATAATATGATGGAGGAAAAAAGCTAATATTCTAGGGAGTATTAACAGGAGTGTCATATGTAAGACACAGGAGGTAATTGTTCCACTCTACTCAGCACTGGTGAGTCCTCAGCTGGAGCACTATGTCCAGTTTGGGGCGCCAGAGTCTAGAAAAGGTGTGGACAAACTGGAGAGAGTCCACAAGAGAGCTACAAAAGATGTTAAAAGTTTAGAAAACCTGATCTATAAGGAAAGGTTAAAAAATGTGGGCATGTTTTATCTTGAGGAAAGAAGACTGAGGGGGAACCTGTCTCAGTGCAGGGGGCTGGACTAAATGGCCTCTTGAGCACCCATAATATTGTCTGACTTCACTGGAGCTGTGGTCCCTCAGCAGCTCTGAAAGTCAAGTTCCATATTTACATGCCTAAATTCACATTTATATCTTCCAAGAAGGCATTTGGTCTTGCTTTGAAGCTATCAAGAGATGGAGACTCCACCAGTTCCCTTTGTTTGTTCCAATGTTTGTTCCAATGGCTAGTCACCATTACTCGTAAGAAATTGTGCTTGCTTTCTAATTCGAGTTTATCTGGCTTCAGCTTCCAGCCATTGGGTCTTATGCCTTTCTCTGCTAGATTAAAGAGCCATTTAGTACCCAGTAATTTCTCCCTGTGAAGATACCACTACACAGTACTCAAATCTCCTCTCAATCTTCTTTTTGACATGTGAAACTGATTGAGTTCTTTAAGTCTCTCACTGTAAGGCATTTTTTCCAGTCCTCAAATCTTTCATGTGTCTCTTTTCCACACTCTTCCAAATTTTTCAACAGCCTTTTTAAAATGCGGACACCAAAACTGGAGCCAGTATTTTAGGACAGGTTTCGTCAGTGAATACAGTGCTTTATACAGATGACAATAGGTGCCCTTAGACCTTTAGATGTCCTAAGAGCCTTGAATTCAGTAAAATTAGTATTATGAGGGAGGGAGACAGAAATAAATGACCCTGGCTGAGTGTAACACTGACAGACCCCGGGCATCAGCGGGTGGGATCGAAACGGGGACTTCGGGAGCTCAGTGCATGGGTCTCTACCGCAAGAGCTAAAAGCCAACTGACTGCTAGCTAAGGCTGTAGAGCAGACTCATTAATTTCTCTCTAAGTGGTCTTGGTGCCACTAGATGGGACAGAGCACCACATCCAGAAGGTGTGGGGGTTACATGAGCAAGTCAAGTAACAGCAGCATGAGTACACTTTGGAGAAGAACAGTAACAACCAAAATGCCACTTAAGGCTCAGTCCTTCACATCTGAAGGCTTTATTATCTCCCCCTTACACACACACGCTCACTGAATTGTCTTCATCACTGCGCCTCTCACTCATTGTTCTGTCCCAAAAGATACTCAAGAAGCTCCCACTCTCAACAGAAGTCCTGAGACACATCCTAAAAGAGCCCCTGATGCCTTGTAACATCTCTGGTTCTATAATAGAATGCCATAATTTTGGCAAACAGCAAGACTCCACATGTTCAATATTTCTCTGCTGGAAGCTCTCTCCCTTTCTCAGCTAGTGCTTCTTCATTACACCACCACCCTGTTAATTTGCTGGCTGCATTCTGTGTCTCTCCACTAGCACCTCACTGCTTATTATCTCTTCTTTACTTCACCTTCCGCACATGATGCTTCATAACTATGATGTCTGTACCTCTTTGAATACAGACTCCTTCAACCCTTTAAAACAAAGCTCAAGGCTCAACCATCACAACTTAAACAGAAGACAAGGATAGCATAAGGGATACACATGCTTTCGACCTGCTGACATGCCAGGCTCAAAATTGGTCTCTAGTCTCCAGCACAGAAGCTCAGCATAGTCAGACCTTCAGGGACTCAAAAGGATTTCTCCTCATCAGCCAGACAAGCAACATCATAATAGTTCAGCTGCTCAAAAGATACTACAAGTTCCACAATCCATCTGGGCAGTTTAAAAAAAACCCCAAAATGTAGCCACCGAGTTTAAATAAGGCACCCCAGGAAAATGCTCAGTTGCTAAGTAGCCAAAAGCCTGATGGAACTTTAAAAAAGCTCACGTACATTAAAAAAACGAGATAGAAAGAAACCAGAGGTGAAATCCTGACTCCAGCGAAGTCAATGATAAAAACTCCCATCAACTTCACTGGGACCAGGATTTCACCCTAGGTCTCTTTTTACTAACATTTGTGAAAAGCCAATAACTTAGTGTATTAGAGCAGATATATTATCTAGAACTAAAATAAAACTGGTAGAAAGATAATGCTGAAACAGCCATCCTAGTACTAATGTGTACGAGTAGGGTTTTTCTAGTGGGTTCATTCCTGTTATCGACCATACAGCACCACCATAGATCCTCCAAAACCACCTACACTTCTCACTGCTATTAAGGCAGTAAAGGTAAAACTTCATTTGAATGCATCTTTGCAGAAACTGAATAAGGAGTTGCAAGCCAGGTCAAAGTGAAATTTTATTTAGAAGGTACTGAAATGCTCACAATGAATTCTTCTCTCTATTCATCTAGTGTAAATATGATGAAGATATGGTCAGACACTCTAAGATGTAGTGCTTCAAGAGAGGTATGATCTGCTGGTCTGAGCACAAGCTGGAATCAGAAATCACTGAGTTCTAATCCTCGCTGTGACACTGGCTCCTTTGTGACTTGGGCAGATCCCTTAACCTCTCTATGCCTCTAAAAAATGTGGAATAAATGGTACTAAGTTAACTACCATGCAGGGATGTTTGAAGGATTCATTAATTGTTTGTAAATCTCTTTGATGATGACTACTGCCAAGTATTATTATTAAACAGCTTTACTACAGATGATGGTAACAGTGCTATCTTTCCTTTTCTTGTATTGTTCTCTGAACAGATTTTTGTGGCAATTTTATGACAAACATTCTGTATGCCTCATATTTCTTTTTAATTTAATTTACTATAGTAACAGAGTAAGATGCAGTTAGTATTAACTCAGTAGGTGGCACCATAACACCAAAAAACTCTCAAACACTGTGCAGTTGTATCTCCTATTATAATCCTGTTGTGAGATACCAGACAAATTGAATAGCGCCTTTTAAAATGATGAAAATGGAGATCACAGGGAACTTGATCTTCAAAATAAAAAATCACATTACTCCAATACCAATACATGTATTGTTAACATGAATTTACTTTTCCCAATGTGGCCCACTACAATTCAAAATATTTCAGTGATTGTATTGGAAAATCACCCTTGAAGTCACAACTTTCTGCCCCTGGCCATATCAATCAGCAAGCATGTTTCTAAAATTCGTAGCTGGAATGAAACTAAAGGATATCTCCAAAGCTCTACATGTAAGTTGTTCTGAATACAAAAAGTACAATATGTTGTAAGAAAGTCTGACAATCACTGAGACATTAAGGGATTGGCAACCCAGTCTGGATGAAATAGGGAGCATCCCAAACCTTTACTGAAATCTCAGACTTAATCAAACCTTAAATAATTTTTGAGATTATGTGGAAGTTATTGACTCATACATATAGCTCCTGGAAGGGGAGGAAAATGTAAGGTATGCAAAGAGTTTCCTCTAACTAAGACATGTGTAGACCTCCCCCTCTTGGCTCACCTGATAGATTTTCAGCCTATTAACCATGAAGGTCCAGATTATATACTTATTCAGGTAATTTGCAGAAAGCACATTCACAGCAAATCCAGCCAACGGATGGAAGACTTGGCTAATTGCTTTAGTTCACTCCGTCTAGTTGGACGAC